CGTAGCCATAGCGAACTGAATTCTGGCCAGGCCAGAGCACTTTCAATTCCCTCTCTTTCTTTGCAAAATTCAAGGTTTCAACCTAAGCCTATAATATCCTATAATTCAAAACAAAGGGGCTACGCGGAGGTTACGCACGCCATTATATATCGGCAGCTCCCTTTGTTTTGCCAGTAGCTACGGGGAGGCTACGCGAGGCTGGGCCGTCTGAGGAATAGGCTACGCGGCCACCATGCCAATTTCCCTCTCCTTTTGGCTCCTGACGGCTCCTGCATTAAACGAAACAACGCTACTCGACTAAAGTTGGAGCTCCCCATTCACTCGAAACTCTCCTCTCAGAACTTGCAGTGTGCTATGAAATGGAGATATGTGTCTCTCTCTCCCTCGTACCCTTGCTTGGACAGCCTCAAGACTACGCCTTTTCCGCCAGCAAAGCACTGGGCATGGAAACACTGTGCTCTTTTGCGGTACAAATGAGTACGCAGCAATGTAGCCATCGGCTGTTGGGCCGTTGACGAAATTGCAATCCTCATAGTTGTCATAGTCACCTTGAAGGCCCAGCTCACGAATGCAAGGCTCTTCCCGAACTGTCGCTCACTCAGTTGACAGCCCTTATCGCTGCAGCTTCAACAGTGAAGCAAATTCTGCCAAAGCAGCCGAAGCACCTACTGCGAGCTTCCAGGCATCGCAGAACCGCAAAAACTGGTCAGTGGGGAAAGTTGTCTCCTTGGTGGCAGTTTTGTGCGCTATGCCGCACAACGCAAATCCACGCAGCCTAGAGCGGACCTTCAAAACCAAGCGGTCGGTCCCCAAAGCGCTGGAGCGCAAACCTGCCAATCCGGTGAAGATGGTCGCAATCTCGATATCTTTTGAATCGCATGAGGACTCTTTCTTGCCCCAAATGCCCAAGGCTCAAAGGTGTCATGATGATACGCCAGCGCGACCCCGAAAAGGGCCTCAGCCTCCTCAACTTCCTTAGATTTGCCATGCCAAGTGCGCTGGCCATGGACTCTGCTTTCTCTCTGTTGTAAACAGCTCCAGACATAAGAGTTGACTTATGCATTGCAGAGACCGCACAGGAGAATTCAAACACCGGATGTTGTCATTCAATGCCCTCCCTTCATCCGCAAGTGAGGGAACCTGTCAAGAGTACACTAGAGCCGTCGCAACAAGGAGACGCAAGACTCGAGAACTCCGTGAGTCGTGAATCGCAGATGTTTAGCTGGGCTTCGGAGGTGCAGGAGCCCATGGTTGTGCAGAAACTCGAGTCTGCAGCGATGTAAGGCAGCACTGGAGAACCTGACAAGCAAAACATCCCAAAGAACTGCTCCCGCATTGTTTTGTGAGATTCACAAAGTGCATGCATTAGTTGCAAACGTAGAGGACTTATCAAATCGGTGCAAGCTTCATCTTGGGACATCTTAGGCAAGACCCGGTCTGAATTGTCACAACTCCTGCGTGCCTGAATCGTCCATCAACAAATAGACCGGTCCGGCAATGATGTGGTGGGCATCTGTAAAGGTGACATACCTTAAATGGGCGAGGTCAGCCATGTCAGCTGGTACGCTTAGCAAAGCCCCAAAACTTGCATGCAGGGTCTCTTGCCTCAAGCTTGGCACAACATGGGGATCGACCAAAAAAGGAGAAGTTTCAGCAGCCCCCAGTCCTCCTGTACTCATGAAACATCGCAGCTTGTCTCAACAGAATTTGCTTCTAAGACAAGACTGTCTATCGACTGACATGCGGCGGGGTTGTGACATGCTCAGCCATCTCGCAGAGTGCCACTGCCGGTGGCTGTGTCAAGTTGTAGGCGTGCACTTGCGTGAGACCTGCGGGATACGGACATTGCTCGCAAAGGAAGTGCCTTACTAAGATTGTTACCTACGCTGTCAGCCTAACTGGCGTTTTCTTGATTTGTTTTTATGGCTGTGTTACGTTTTGATACGATGTTCATGGTGTTACGATTCCTACATAAAACATCTCCGTCAAAGGAAACCTGAGCAGCAAAGTGTGTAAGAAATCGTAATAATTAACAAACAAATAAAAGCCAAGCATCACAAAGTCGTATCTAGACTGCAACAACATCCCTTGACTAAGCCCACACCGTTGGTCACAAGGCTAAGGATGGGGCAAGCTGGCAGATAGGACAGTTGCGTGAGGGTTGGTTTAGAGGTGTAGGCAAAATTGGGGTGGTGAAGAGGCAGGTTTCCGGATTGGTTTAGGCTTCGTATATCCTGGGTTTAGAGTGGGATTGTGGTGGGTTCACAGGGTGAAAAGGAACGAATATTGGGGCGGATTAGAGTTGGGTTTAGGGTTGGTTGCTTTACGGACAGAAATCAAGAAGCCAGGAAAGCCAAAAAGCCGAAGGGGCTTTGGAAAGGGGGCTTTGAAAATGTGAGATAGCCACCTTTGGAAAGTGACTTTGGGATTGCGGACTTGGAAAGTTCAAGAACCTCAGGAGCCTAAAGACTGGATTCCATGAATAGTGCCACGCCAGCCTGGCATGCCTTCAACCATTCGTCGAATTGCCGGTTTTGCCATGCCTTCAATGCGTTATGCTCGCATGCGGAATAGATCTGACGCCTTGACATGCACCACGCCTCTCACTGTGGAAATATCGAAGCTGTCCAAGGCAAGCTTGTTTCCACCGATGACTATCTGCCGAAATGGATGAGAGCTGCTGAGAGTCGACAGGAAGGTGCCTTGTCCGCAACTGCTTCCCGATGGAAAAGTCAAATCACGGCCGAAGCGAAAATAAGAGGAAATCCAGAAATCTAATTGATCTTTCTCTGACTGAGGTCTGCAAAGGAATTGGCTCAGCGCACAATCCAAGGCTCTCATGTCAGGTCGATTGGCCAGCACGGCCAGAGTGATCTGAGTCTCATTGATATCGTGGAAGATGTTATTCAAAGAACCATGTCGCACAAACTCGGGCGCCTCAAAGCCTCAGCATGGCAACTCTTCCTCGATGTAACTCACAACACTACTGACCCTGCTGCACCATCCACTTGTACATAGAAGGCATGTTGCACAGCATGGTACTTTGAATTGAGTGGTATCAACTACAAGCCTGGCACAAGGGCCCAGCCCTTGCATCAGCCGAGCTGCTCTCATTCATAAGCCTCAGAACTGCGGCAATGCGAGTGCAGGCCCAGCCCAGTTTGCAGAAATCAGCAAGGTGTGCATGTTACCTGAAGACTAAGTTCATCTGCCTTCAACAGCTTCAACACATACAAACGGTCGTATTCGTTGGTTGGGAATCCTCTCACATGTTGCAGAAACACAAGCATAGCGCCGCGGCTATTTCTTCTGCACTGCCACAGTATTAAACCAGGCATTTGACTGCGAGGGAAGCTGACCACATCCAAATCAGGCCTAATTGCAGCTAGCAGCATTTGCGCATAGTTTCCAATCAGCAAGGAATCTCCTTTGTATGGTTGGTCCTGCAAGGTCAATCAAGGAAGCGGTATGGCTTCTCTGCCAAGGGCATAAGTAAGCTTTCTACAATGCACTGCTCCATGCTTTCGTTGCCTTGGGCACACTCTCTGCAAATATTAAAACATCTGCTCGGCAAGGAGTTCCAAGGAGTTCCATCTCTTCGCCTGTCGGAGAACCATTCTATTCCTATCATGTTCTTTCATTATCTATTCCTTTCATTACGTCCTTTCATTTACAAGCGAATTACTTGTGGAAAGAAGGGCGAAAGGAGTGGATGATGTGGAAAGAAGGGCGAAAGGAATGGATGATGTGGGAAGGGAATGGGAACTCAAGGACATCCACCTCCAGTCCATCTTTCTATCACTTATCATTCCCTCCCCGTTCTATCTCCCATAGAGCCAAATGAAGGGAGGAATGCAGGCGGTCAATGGTGAGGAGAGTGATAGATGATAATGGGAAAAGAAAATTGGAGAAGGTAAACAAGGGTGTTATCAGTCAAAACCTTGACATATTGTGTTCATCTCATTTGGTGTTGGCTATCTAGTTCACGTGTTATGTTTATGCATCCATTAAAAAGAATGCATCTCTGTCTTTATTAATCCAAACTCTCGTATTTGCTAGGCTTTACTATCGAAATGATATTTCTAGATTTCTCTGCTTCATCTTCATGATTCATTGCTTATCATTGCCTCATCTGGGAACGGGTAAAGGAAGAGATGTGCACGAAGGAGTATCCCTCCATCCATACGCTGTCGAGAGAACGAAGTCATGGAGAAGTCAAGGGCCCTGTCTCTATGTCCCTTCTCTTGGCAATCATCATGAGTGCGGTGAGGAAAGACGAAGCGAAGGAGGGATGGAGAAAAACAAAAAAAAAGACAATGAAGCCATCATGTGTTGTCGATCTCCGTCTTAACGTTTGCTTTGTTCTTTCTCCAAGCATCTCCTTCCTCACCAATATATTGTGACCCAACGCATGTTGCCGGCCTTTACTGCCTTCTATAGAGAAAGGCCGTCATACGGCTAGGCTACAGTATGAGTCATTGTGAGCCTGGTCCTCCGTCTGCGACAGTCCGCTTTCCCAGGTGTACATGAATGCTCGGAACCGGCCTTATGCAAAAATGCCAACCACCCTTCTGGCCTGTGACAAAGGCCTCTCTCTCTCAGCCGTCTTACAGTGTTCCGAATTGGTCGCCGTGCAGTGAGATTGGCTACCCTTGGCAACAAATACCACAATGCCATAAGCGCTTCCATTCTGAAACAAATACATGTTACGATTCCCAAGCTATGCGTAATTCAAGTCACTATTGGATGCCTTTTTTGAGCATGTCCATTGTCCATCTAGATACAGCCTTAACAGGTGGCATTTGCCACTTTGGCAACCAGTCCCCGGAGAAGCCGAACTCCGCCAGGCTGAGTTCTGCCATCCGCACGTCAAAGGCCGCACCTTAATTCCCTTACACTGGGCCAAGTCTGCATGTCTCCAGGGAACTGATTTTTCTCCGTCATCCCGCTTTGGCATGCAGCATATGCAGCCAAAGATCTTAAAGTGCCTGCAACTGCCTCTCGCTCTAGCTCGCCGTAGAGGTATCGCAGCCAAGGGTGCGTAATGTTGTAGATGGCATTTCCATTGATGTGAAAAAGCCTGGGCATTGCCGTTTGTTGCACAAGTTTGGTAAGTGCAAAGGAAGGGTTCTCCATGGCTTCATATTTGCTTTTATTCCAAGCTGATGTGATAGGGTATGGTGCAGAAACAGCAATGCTGCTAGTCCTTCACAAATAATCCCCATAGCCCATAGCTCCACAAATTTCACGCCCAACCGCAACCTGTACATGAATATATTGAACCCGCCAAACTTGATGTCTTCATGATGTCTCCCTGGAAGACAAAGAACAGAATTCCCATTGAGGCGGAAGCTTCGGGAAGCCTTTGCAAAAGATTTGATTTTTGTTTGCTACCCAGCGAGCCTTCTCTGCTTCTGACTGCCCAGCTTCAGGTCACCCCTGAAGCAGGAAAACGAGGGCCCTGCAAGCGGCTTTTGCCGAAGCCAAACGCCTTCCTCTTGCATTACGATTCTGCCAAAGTGGCAGGCTGGGCGGAATGTCCTGCAGAAACGCATCCCAAGAGTCACCTGCCGCAAGAGGTCTGAAGCACAGAATTGGTAGCCTCAGTGGTCCTTCGCATTCGCTGCTTGATCACTATCTCGCGCCTCGGTAGCGGCTACCCCGCACCGCCATGGTGGGATCGTAGGCCTCTGTGATCAATTGCGCCACCCATCCGCTGCGGATTGGAACCTTGACAAATAGGCAAAGGTCGTCAGCTGCGATATGCGAGACTTTGCACCCTCGTTGTTGCTTGACAATTAAAAAAAGAGATGCTAGACGATCTTGCCTCTTGCACCTGCTGGTTCCAAGGGATTTGAATCCGGGGCAATGTCTGTGTGAGAAGAAGCCCTCTCAACATATAACTTCAAGCTACAAGCAATGATTCAACTCCAAGCGTCAGCATCAAACTCCATGAAGTAAAAGGAATCATAGTCGGCAGCTGCAAAGTCACCCTCCTAAGGCATTTCCATGCAGAGTCTGCCCGCAGCCAAGCTCATGACCACCACAGCTTAGTAACGGTTGACAATTTTCCCAGAAAGGCATTGATCTATCCAAAAGGACTTTGGTTGAGGGCACAAACACTGTGATTCAGACTTAGAAGTTGGCACTATAACTATAACCGCCAAGTTCGGAAGTCCGCCCACCAGTTTGGGTGAAGCTGTCATGCCAGACTGTACTTGCCCCACTTGGGTCTGACTGGACTGCAATTACAAGGGACGAGCAAAGTTTTCCTGGTGATGTTCGTAGCGAAACGTTTGAGGTTCACTTCCGAACGTGGATGCCATATCAACAATATGTGCCAAACTTGGCTTTAAATCATAGACGAAACGAATCGTCCAAATCTTGGCCCAAGGCTCGAGAAATGACCTCATGATGTACAAGAAAACTGAATTTGGGCCGTTGGCCCAGTCTTTGCGAGCAGAGTAGCCTCGAGAGTCCTTGGCCATTCAGCTGGCTTGTACAAAAGTGTGAACATGTGGCAGGAAGCGGCAGCGGCCTTGCCCTCACTGAATGGCAAGCGGCATAGACGTCCTCCTCTGCGCTAAGATTTGCTGCATAGGGGTGGATGGCTCTGAAACAGTGGCTCCAACTGGTCGAGCCGATCCTCACATTCCGAGACACTCCAAGCTCTGGCCTTTGGACCGAAAGCCAACATTTTGCTTGATCCTCACTCAATCTTCAGCCTCCAATGTCTTACATCCGTTCTGGATGCCCTGCAACCAAGCGGCCCTGCTTTTGCACTAACGTTTTGAAAGGCCGCCAAGGCAGACGGGTTCTCCTGATAGTGGCAAGTGGCACCTGTCATGACATGCAAATCAAACGGAATTTACCATTTGGATTGGGATGACAATATCGGGTCGATCTGAAGCTCTCCTCAAACGTTCGGCTGTACACCAGGATGATATCGATTGGCACATCCGGTGCTGCGTGGCAGGGCAGCACCTTCAGGGAAAGTCAGCCAAGTGCAGCTTGCTAGCTACTAATTCCAAGAACATGTACTGCAAACCTCTCAATTCTTTGTGCACGCCTCATCCCAAAGGTCGAAGACACGCGACATGCTGTCAATCTCTGCTTGGCTGGCAAACGCGCGCACAACTGCCAGACTGCTATTCGCGACAATGGGAAAGAATACCACATGTATCCTGAGTTGCGTCAGCGCGCTGCATGCGAGATTGTCTTTGCACACGAATGCGATACGGAGCTCTTGATCCCAACAGTGCACCCTGGCCAAGGCGAGCTAGCTCATGGGCATGACCCTGAATCAAAGAAACGCCTCGAGCAGTACTCAGCTTTCCCATGTGACATCAAACACGGCTCACATCGCAGCCAAGCGTCAGAAGAAAAGGCAGGCTGCACAAACCGACCTTTACAGCGCTGTCCAGTCATTGTGCCATTCAAGCAGCACGGGCACGCCACAAATTCAGCACAAAGCAAGCCCGACCGCAGAACAAACAAAACCAAGCAAAGCCCAAAAGCCAAAGAAGTATAAAGCAAGAAAGAATAAAAGGACAAGCAACGCTCCAGCCAAGCTCAAGCAAAGCCCAATCAGAGAGCAGAAGGCAAACACATGGCAGGCACAAGGAAAGCGAATGCAAAAACCAAGGAAACCGCAAGCGTTACATCCTTTGGCCTCAAGTAGACAGGTGTCCAGCAGGGCTAGAGCGCGAGACGGGAAATACCCCGGGGCGGGAGGGTGGGAGAAACTTCGTCTGCCACCCTGACTTGGCTCAAGCCCACCAAACCAACCCAACTGAGATAAACAAATGCAAGCCAAGCATGCACAGCAACGATATAAAGCCCAAACAAAGCGCGAGCAACCATCAGGCAACGCCTAGCAGTGTCCCAGCAAACCAGCAGAGGGCCAACAAAGCCCATTCAAAGAGCAAGTAAAGCCGAAAAGCAAAGCCAAACAAAGCCCTTGATTGGGCTTTGGTTGGTCTTTGCTGGTTTGCTTGACACTGCTAGGTGCTTTGTTTGGACGTCACTTGCTCTTGGTGGGTGGCTTTGTCGGTCTCCTCTGCTGGTTTGCTTGCACACTGCTAGGCCTGGTTTTGGCTCGGGCTTTGCTTTGGCTTACTTGCTCTTTGATTGGGCTTTGTTTGGTCATTGCTGGTTTGCGTGACACTGCTAGGTGCGTTGCCTGGTCGTTGCTCGCGCTTGGTTTGGGCTTCACATGCTCTTTGTCGGGGCTTGGTGGGTGAACTGATTGGTCTCTGCTGGTTTGCTTGACACTGCTAGAGCTTTGTTTGGCTCGCGCTTTGCGGCTTTACTTGCGCTTTGATTGGGCTTTGTTTGGTCTCTACTCGATTCTTGCACACTGCTAGGCCTGGATTTTGGCTCGGGCTTTGCTTTGGCTTACTTGCTCTTAGCAGTCTCCAAGAAACGAGAAGACACCACACAAAGCCGCATCTAAGCCCCCAAAGAGCATGTAAAGCCAAAACCGACCGCGAGCAACGAGCAGGCAACGCCTAGCAGTGTCAAGCAAACCAGCAGAGACCAAACAAAGCCCAATCAAAGAGCAAGTAAAGCCGAAGAAAAGCGCGAGCCAAACAAAGCTCTAGCAGTGTCAGGCAAACCAGGAGAGACCACACAAAGCCCAATCAGTTCACCCACCACGCCCCGACAAAGAGCATGTGAAGCCCTAACAAAGCGCGAGCAACGCCTAGCAGTGTCAATGAAACCAGCAGAGAGCAAACAAAGCCCAATCAAAGAGCAAGTAAAGCCGAAGCAAAGCGCGAGCCAAAACCAGGCCTAGCAGCGTGCAAGCAAACCAGCAGAGACCACACAAAGCCCCATCAAAGCCCGACAAACAGCATGTGAAGCCCAAACAAAGCGCGAGCAACGACCAGGCAACGCCTAGCAGTGTCAAGCAAACCAGCAGACAGCAAGCAAAGCCCAATCAAAGAGCAACTAAAGCCGAAGCAAAGAGCCAATCTAAGCCGCAACAAAGAGCTTGTGAATCCCAAACAAAGCGCGAGCAACGTCCAGGCAACGCAGTGTCAAGCAAACCAGCAGAGAGCAAACAAGGCTCAATCAAAGAGCAAGTAAAGCCGAAGCAAGGCGCGAGCCAAAACCAGGCCTAGCAGTGTGCAAGCAAACCAGCAGAGACAACACAAAGCCCCATCTAAGCCCCAACAAACAGCACAAAGCGCGAGCAACGACCAGCAACGCCCAGAAGTGTCAAGCAAACCATCAGAGACCACACAAAGCCCCATCTAAGCCCCGACCAAGAGCATGTGAATCCCAAACAAAGCGCGAGCAACGACCAGGCAATGCGGCAACGCCTAGCAGTGTCAAGCAAACCAGCAGAGACCACACAAAGCCCAATCAAAGCGCAAGTAAAGCCGAAGAAAAGCGCGAGCCAAACAAAGCTCTAGCAGTGTCAAGCAAGCCAGCAGAGACCACACAAAGCCCAATCAGTTCACCCACCAAGCCCCGACAAAGAGCATGTGAAGCTTAACAAAGCGCGAGCAACGACCAGGCAACGCCTAGCAGTATCAAGCAACCCTGCAAGCAAACCTACAAGCAAACCTGCAAGCAACCCTGCAAGCAAACCTGCAAGCAAACCTGCAAGCAAACCAGAAGAGACCACACAAAGCCCCATCTAAGCCCCGACAAAGAGCATGTGAAGCCCAAACAAAGCGCGAGCAACGACCAGGCAGCGCCTAGCAGCGTCAAGCAAACCAGCAGAGAGCAAACAAAGCCCAATCAAAGAGCAAGTAAAGCCGAAGCTAAGCGCGAGGCAAAACCAGGCCTAGCAGTGTCAAGCAAGCCAGCAGAGACAACACAAAGCCCCATCTAAGCCCCGACAAAGAGCATGTGAAGCCCAAACAAAGCGCGAGCAACGACCAGGCAACGCCTGGCAGTGTCAAGCAAACCAGAAGAGAGCAAACAAAGCCCAATCAAAGAGCAAAACGCGAGCCAAATCCAGGCCTAGCAGTGTGCAAGCAAACTAGCAGAGACCAAACAAAGCCAGGCCAAGCAGTGTCAAGCAAACCAGGAGAGACCACACAAAGCCCCGTCTTAGAAGCCCCCACAAAGAGCATGGGAAGCCCAAGCAAAACGCAAAGCGGCGGCTTTAGCAAAGTGCAAGTTGAGCAAAGCAGAGTCAGAGCCAGGCACACGCAAGGCGCATGCAAGGCAGAAGCAAGGCGCAAGAGAAGACCAAGCAAACCCAATTCAGAGCCCAAGCATGAGCGGCATGAGCCGAGCAAGAGCAAAAGGCAGGCATGGCAGCGTGGCAAGCAAGCCACGGCTGTTGAAGCCATGCAACATGCTTTGCGCTGAGGCGTCCGCCATATTTGCGCTGCCCGAATGAATCACATTGGCTCACCCATTCTCTCCCCTGCTTCTCTCCCTCGAGCCCAAAGCTGCCGAAGTGGACATGACCTCCAACCTGCCACTTCTCACAATTCCACAATTCGCCACCAGAACAGTAACGAAGATAGGAAGGAGTCATCGAATAGTCGCGCAAACTCCCGCAATGCTCGATGCTTTTCTGACTCCAGACGTTTCTCACCAACTGCATCTTGACATCTAACTTCACCTGCGCAAGGTTTCGGCTGACAGTCCCAGCACACTTTCCCATTTTCATCACAGAGGAGTCCATGCTGATTCCTGCGATGAAAACTGTTCTTGGTTGGACATGGAGCGAGATCTCTACATGCATTCAAACCCTATCCCCAGCCTCGCTTTGCCAGAGGTAATGGACCTGATGTAGCTCTGGCAGACCTGTCAAGCTCCCAAGCCCGGGCAAGCAGCTGCATTGTCTGCCTTGTCATATCAAACATGTTGGGAATTGGCAGAATCAGCGGCCGACTATGTCAGGCTCTGAACACCAAATAGCAATCAGAGCATGGGCCCATGAACAGATTGATGCTCTGAAGTTTCAGTGCTTGCCAGGAAAATGCGCTCATACGGGTTGAGGGCTAAGCAAGATATGGCTCGCAAATCCACACTCCTGTAACGCAGTCGCCGCACCCATGTTTGTCTCTTTCATTCAACGCAACCAGCTTGGATGTTCTGCGAGCGAGTCCCTCCCAGATGTGCTGTTGCGCGCACCGCGTGGACGTCCCACTTGTAGTCAGGAAGGACGGCCTGGCATGTGCTTCCAAAATAATTTCACACGAAGCTCAACCTGGGAGGCTGTCAAGTAGTTGCATTGCACTTTCCGGTTCTATCCCTGCGACGCCCACCAAACAAAAGCCAAGTTCGAACAGAAACACATCAGGTTCAACCCCATGCATGCTTTGGCCAAAAGGCTTAATCAACACGCTCTCTACTTCTGCAAACCCATAGAAGATATCTGATGACACCTGCCCACCTGGAAGCGATAGATGTAGTAGTAGACCCAGCTGAAGGACACCAGCATCAGAAGGAATGCTGAAAGAAAAACACCTCGAGTCCCAGCGTGAAACGCACCGCACACAGCTCCGTCAAACCACCCATGCACAACTTGTTTGCTGAGCAGCGGTAGTTGGCTGGCTCCATCCTCTGCCAGGGTTGGATCAATGTGCTCTGTGTTGCGCGTTTGTTGCCTGAGATCGGAGTGCGGTTCTTGCAACTGACACGCATCGGAAAAGGATACAAGTCGCAAGTCACGCTGAAGAGGGGAAAGCGAGAGAGCAAGCTGCTACAAAACCTGTCCGACCTTCAACCTGAAACCAAATACCACCCTTGCGGCGAAAGCCAACTCTCCTGTTCCTCCTATCAAATACTAATGTGATCCAAGGAACGGTCTGGCACCACACCTATGAAGACTCACACGTCATTGCTAGGGGCCACTCATGAAGCCATGAGAACAGCTCTTAGATTGATCAGGCCAAGCCGAACAGCCATTTGCAATGCGTGAGCTTCTGAGCATGATAGTGGCACGCGGAGTGACAAGCAAAGTACACGGGCGTGCCTATGAAGAGAGTGTCCTCACAAAGTTAGCACAGACTCGCCATGCAAGCATGTATCTCCGAAGGCTCGCAAGCGCCAGCAAGGCCGACTAAGAGAATCTGCACTCCTTGAGCAGCACAATGAACTCCAAGGCAACCTGGTGCAGGACGCGTGCAGAACATACCAGACACTCCAAAGGCTGACTACATGGTGTCGCTGTTGGGCTGATCCCTTCGCAACATACTCGCTGTCAACATACCCTGCCACCCAACAAAAGGCTTGAGTGGCTTGAGCACTTGGCACTCCCCTTGGGTCCACGCAGAATTGAGCAAGAGGTCGCCGAAGTTCGGCGTTGCGCAAAGCCAGCGGCATCCCAGCCAAAGGAGGTACACGTCAATGATCCAACGTGGGATCATGCCTCAAATAGAAAAACGTCCTGTTCACAGCTTGCCCTGTGATTGTTGTAGCAGTCCACTAGCAAGACACAAAAAAAAATGCGACTCAGACCACAAGGGCGAACAACACCCACAATTGCATCCACTAGTTGGCGGATACTCGCATCCGAGGCACAAGTAAACATCAGCAAACCTTTGACTTCCTTGGTGAGGCCGGCGACAATCTCACACTCGCCATCGCCTTCCACCACTGCGTCCTGAGCAACAAGCAGTGCATCGCCTTCACATTCATGTTGGGCTCTCCATGCGAAGGAGTCACCCCTGCTTGCTCCCGGCAGGAACTGGCTCAACTAGTAAAGTCGGCGTACGCTTTCGGCTTAGGGTTTATGGCGTCACAAGTCACAAACCAAAAGGTATGGATGTGCTTTGCGGTTTGTTGCTGGACCTTTGGATGCCGCGGTGTGGTTCGGTGGGAACTGCAGTCCTTCATGCTGCCAATGGTAGGCGTGGCAAGGATCAGGCGCACAAAGAGGTCTCCGCAACGACGCAAATCAGCCACTATCGTAAGCGTCCTGGAAGAGCGGCTATCTATGCATCCAGAATGCAAGGTGCAGTTGGGAGACCGTACTTGGTCGAGATTTGTTTTGGGAACTGTTTCCGGTTCTTTGTATTGGCTGTTGCTGCTTCGGAAAAAACTCTCGGCAAATGGACACTGACTGAGGGTAAAAGGTTGATTCACCGCTGACGCATTCTCAGACAAGCTGCCAAATGAAAAGGATGGGGACCAAGATCTGCATTTGCGAGAACGGGATGTTACCTGGTAAACTTCATCACAAATCAGGATGCAGTCCAGTGTCAAAATGCCGCAGGAGCTCTTCTGAAGGAAGCGGCATTGAGGTCGCGGCATGCCAAATCCTTTTCGTCGTCCGTCAAACGAGCAAAGTTGGCCCTAGGCCGCTCTGGAGAATCCAATGGCTGAGCACGTTGCTAACTGGACTACCAATTCGGCACTTTTTCTGAATTCAATCAAACAACGCTGCCCTGCACATTGAATTCATCGGCGCCGAGCTGCGACTCGAAGTACTTCTGGTCAAGCCCGCGAGGGAAGCCGTTCGGGGTGAGATAGTTGTGGGTCACATCCGCACCGTACATGACGAATTCGTATCTGGAGAAACTGGGCCCAACCCGCTCAACAAGCCAAGCTGAAGCATGCACAGGACTCAAACTTTTTGGAACACGCGGTGCTCTTAGACCACAAAATGACATGGTGCAATGCTGGCACACACAACGTAGCAGGTGTTGCATTGCTCTGCCTCGGGCATCTTTGGGACTTTACATAGCAAAAGGAAACAAAGCGCTGGAGCCGGGTGATGAGGCTCAGCCCAATGGATGCCTCTGAGATCCCTCCCCCAAGTTCTACTCAGCGAATTTAGGGCGGGATCCAGGGTGGGGAAATCTGGACGGGCTCGCGTAGCTCTGCCTCTGGCATTGTTGCTGGAGCAAAAGGGGACAAACCGTTGGCCGGTTGATGGCTGGAATGCTTCCAACCAAGCTCGTGTTCGACGCGCGCGAAGCAAAGTCAGTTAGCAAAAGCAAAGCACACGACTAGCCAAGAATTGAGAATTGCCCCCCCTTCTCGCAGAGCGCAGGTCCTCCCACCACCACCTCCACCAGCCGAAATGAGCTCGGCACGCCAAACGCTGTGGCCGACGAAGCGGTCTGCATCCTTCACCAACAGGTCCGCACGAAGCCGGCCCAAAAGCCGTCGGCTTCTGCACCCATTCAGAAAGGACTCGCCGGGGCTGGAGCCCTGAATCCGTTTCTGAAGGTCTGGTGCCCCCCGTTCCCCCGACGCACGGGCACGGCGAGGCATCATGCGGCTGCTCGGCTGCTACTGCTCGGCTGTGCCCAGCTTCTCAGCTGTGCTCGGCTGCGCGTGGCTGCTCGGTTGGACCGGCTGCGCTCGGCTGCTCAGCAAGACGTCCACGACAGGGGAAGGATGTTGCAAGGACAGTAAAGTAGGGTCTGCTTTAATGTCCCCCGCCCAGTGGAACAATTCACCGAGGTCCTCTTTAGCGAAAATTGTGGGGGTCTGAGGACTTGGACTTGCTAGTTCTAATTTAGTATTGCCAAGACTTGCTCTCAGATTCGGGCTTTTTGTGGGCAACCCCTTTGTGTGACTCTCTGCCCTTACTTTTCTGTAAAGAAGTCCGCCGACCCCTTTCTCCAAAGGGGAGGCGCATGGGAAGGGTTCGTCTTTGTCCTCGTCTTAGTGATGATTATCATCACCACTGATGTTGGGTGATGGTTCACAGCATCCGGATCATCATCATTACCGTGGCGCTCTTTTTTAATATGTTTCAAGTGTGCCGTTAGACCTGACTGGAGATGCAGAGGATGCCTCGCGATGATTGGCATGATAACTGCTGCTGATGCTGGAGATGCATAGTGATGTCGTTAAATGCTGGTGATAATGAGGATGCGTAGTGATGATTATGATCAGGATGATGAACATGATGATGACAATGATGATGGATGATGATCCAGATGAACATGATGATGAACATGATGATGGTGGTGATGTAATTTCATCATCATGTTCATCATCATCATCATGTTCCTCATCATGTTCATCATCGCTCTTGTTCTGGAAAGGCAGAGGATGCGTTGTCGTGATTGTCATGATAATTGATGATGATGAGCATGATAATGCTCAAAATGATGATGATGATAAACATGATGATGAAAAAGATGATGATGATGATGATGATGATGATGATGATGATGTTGAACATGATGATGATGATGATGATGATGATGATGAACATGACGAAGTGAAATCATTTTCAGTCACATCATCATCATCATCATCATCATCATTTCCATCTTCATTTTCATCATCCTGATGATAATCATCACTACGCATCCTCAGCATCACCAGCAGTTAACGTCAGCAGTAGTTATCATGACAACGCATCTCATCATTTGCATCATCATGTTCCTCATCATGCGCATCAAAACCGTGGCGCTCTTCTTTTTTCACACACGTTTCAACCCGACTGGACATGTAGAGGGTGCGTTGTCATGATAACTACGCCGGGGATGCATAGTGATGACGTTAACTGCTGGTGATGCTGAGGATGCGTAGTGATGATTATCATCACGAGGATGAAAACGATGATGATGATGATGATGAACATGAAAACGATGATGATGATGATGAACATGATCACGAAACTGATTCTGATCCTCATGTTTATCATCATGTTCATCATCATCATCATCGTCGTCGTCATCATCCTCATCCTCATCATCATCATTTTCATCATCATGTTCATCATCATCATCATGTTCATCATCATGTTCATCATCGCTCTTCTTTTTCATATACGTTTCAAGTGTACCGTTAGACGCGACTGGAAATGCAAGGGAAGGATGCGTTGTCATGGTTGTCATGATAACTGCTGGTGACGCTGAGACCAAACATGATGCCAGTCCCTTGCACATTTGCATATGGGCGTTGGTCGAAATTCTTTTGTCTTTTTTTTTGCCTTCTGGCGCCCTTTCGCGAAACTTGCGCTTTCTTTCGCGCCCACAGTGGGGCGCACATGGTCGACAACCCTCCGTCGACAACAGCAAAGCCATGCGTCAAAAGCCTGCTTTGGGAACCAACGGCCCAGCCCGAGTGTTATTTTCCAATGCCTGAAACAGGTTTTGGGGTGCCCTAGTCTGTGTATTCTCAAGGAAACACTCATTTGAACACGTTTGGACACTTTTGGCTGGTTGCCTGCAAACCAACCCAACACCTGCCCAAATGCTATTGCCGACACATTCGGCCCCTCCCCTGCCCAAATATTATTTTCCAGTGCCAAAAGCAGGTTTTGGGGCTGCCCTGGAAAAGACTCGGACACTCTCAGCCCTGCAAACAACCCAACACCTGCCCAAATATTATTTCCCAGCGCCCAAAAATTGTTTTGGGGTTGCCCTGGTCTGTATTCTGACGGAAAAGACTCATTTGGGCTTGTTGGCCTGCAAACCAACTCGAAACCTGCCCCAATGCTATTTTCCATTGCCCAAAACAGGTTTTGGGTGCGCCCTGCCATCCGTCCATCCACACACCTATACATCCACCCACCCCCCATCCATCCATCCATCCACCCACCCACCCACCCACCCACCCACCCACCCACCACCCACCCACCCACCCATCCATCCATCCATCCATCCATCCATCCATCCATCCATCCATCCATCCATCCATCCATCCATCCATCCATCCACACATCTTCAAAAAAACCATTTGATTTGGACACTAGCCAAACACCTGCCCATTTTCCAGCGCCAAAAAAAGGTTTTGTGGGTGCCAAAGACTCATTTGGACACTTTCGGCTCCTTGGCCTGCAAACCAACCCAACACCTGCCCAAATATTATTTTCAGTCTCAAGGAAAAGACTCATTTAACACTTTTGGCTTGTTGGCCTGCAAACCAGCCCAGAACCTGCCCAAATGTTATTTTCCAGTGCCAAAAACAGGTTTTGGGTGCGCCCTGGTCTGTATTCTCATGCGTCCATCCACACACCTAAACATCCACCCAGCCCCCAAGGGAAAGACTCATTTGGACACTTGGTTGGCCTGCAAACCAACCCAATTATTTTCCAGTGCCCAAAACAGGTTTTGGGGGTGACCTGGTCTGCATTCTCAAGGAAAGACTAACCTGCCCAAATGTTATTGTCCAATGCAAAAAAAAAGGTTTTGGGGGTGCCCTGGCTTGCATCTTGCGGACCAACCCCGAAACAGGCCCAAATGTTATTTGGCCTTGGCCGAAATAGCTTTTGGGCAACCCCCAACAACGACATACCAACATGCAGGCGCGAGGGGCACATTTTGCATAAACAACCGTCCAAAAGCTATTTCTACAGCATTCAAAAAAAAGGTTCACACCATTCAGAGTGCTAAATCAGCATCCATTATCATCATTGTGGCCAGCCCTTTCGCCAAACCTTCCGGCGCCCACTCGCGACCTTTCGCGCTCGCAGCGCCAGAACACATGAATATGCTCCTTACTAAACTTTTACACATGGGTTTTTGACCGTCGCCCATATGCGCCAAGAAAAGCAAGCCTGCTGTGAACTGCAAGCAGTTCACGCAGCTCAAGTTAGGGAAGGACCAGTATCCGACACACTGTTGTACAAACAAAAGGGCTCTAACTTAGGCTCTAACTCTCACCCCGTGCCATGTAGAAAAAAAACGTCATGCCAAGCTCGACAATGAATTCATAGTTACCCCCCCCCCCCCCCCCACAAATCACCTACTTATCCACAACACTTCACCAACAACTTAAGAAAAACCTGGCTTTACCCCCCCCCCCTAAAAGCCTCACAAAAGGGGGGGTAAAGCCAGCACCGCCAAAACCAACCACAATGCAAAACGCAGACCCGTTCTGCCAAAATTGAAAAGATGCGCAGTCACAATCCGCACCTGCCCGACCACGCAGCGCGGATAACACGGCCAAAACCCCGAAGAGAAAAAAAATCGCGAGAGTTTCGCCCAAAGAAACGCGCCAAGATTCGCCTCCTCAGTAGCATTTGAAAAAAAGCTGGAATCCCCCCGCCCAGACGCCGTAAAATAGGGGAGGCAAAGCCAGCACCCACAAAACCAACAGCAATGCAAAACGCGTGCCCGTTCTGCTAAAATTGAAAGATACGCAGTCGCAGTCCCCCAACATGGTTTTCAGCATGATCTTTATCGCGGTGCTCTTCTTTTTTCATGTATGCTGTAAGTGTGCCGTTAAACCCGACAAAGAATAGCGTAGTCATAACTGTTCTAAGGAAGCCGGGGGCGGCGGCGCAGGGCGGCAGCCCTTAAATCCGGCTATGCCTCCTGGGGTAGCATGTCGCCGCTAGGCAATTAGCCTGCTAGCTTTAGCTATGGGGGCTGCACCCTGGTGCCGCCAACCCTCATCACTTGGTCGTGATGCGTTGCCTAAGTCCTGCACCATCACCAGCTCGGGCTTGCGGTTTTGCTTGCCTGTCGGAAACCCTCGCAAAACATCGCGTATATGCAGGGTTTAGGCCATGTGGCTGACATCATCAGGGTCTGGGGTTGGGCCTGGGTGATGCTTCAGCGGGGCTTGGTCTGCATCATCAGGACTTCCTTCCAAAAAGCCCCTCAACCCATGAAGCACTGTTTTTTAGAAGGTGTCGAAATATATAAACGAGGCTAATTTTCGCGCATTTTGGCGCCGAGCGCTGCCGGGCGTGCCGGCGATGCTGGGTCCTCGCTCTACAAAACACTGTAAATGCCGTCAAAAACTGCTGTGCTGAGCGGTGGGCTGTTGTTCTGTCCGTTTTGCTTTTGCTGTGGCTGGCTCGCGTGCTGCGCGGTCCTTGCTTTTTTCCCGTTGGTTCTCGGGCCTTCTGGCGCGCGCGCGCGACCCCAGCCACAAAACGCTGCTATTTACGGTGTTTTGCTGCATTTGCGTTTCCGGGCTGGCTTGCGGGCTGCTCTTTTTGGGCTGCTCTTTCTGGGGCCTCTGGCGCGCGCGACCCCATGTCAGCCTTCTGGATTGGGGCCCGGCTGGGGCCCAGAAAGCGCATCATCTGGGGTTGGGGTGGGCAAAATGCATAACCTAACCAGCCATATCATAGCACAGGATACGTTTCTCATACGAAAAACATGACATGACAAAGTATAACTTCAAAGAGGCGTAGCCGGCTAGAGGCCGCAGGCTCAGAAAATTATCTTAGATGGCTTGGGGGCCACTTCAAAAAACAAGGAAATCGCATTTTTTGCCTGGAAATGGTTGCCCAGACTTTTGTGGCCTGATGTTCGTGGTCCGCTTTTTTGGCCCAGAGTCTTTTCCGGCAAACAAACTGTCTATTAAAGCGAACCCCGAAACAGTCACAGGATTCTGAATTAGGAAAACACTTGCCACTAAAGCAAGTACCCAATTAAAAAGGCGGGTCCGACATTAGCTCGAGGCCGGCGGCCAAAACGAATCTCTTTCAGAAGGAGGTAAACGTGGCAAGTTCTTGTTGTCTAGTGTTGTTGTTTAGAAGCGCCATTGTATCTGGAAGAGCTTTGTGGTGATTAATGTCCTTTGGCCGAGCGCAGCTGAGTCCATAAAGCAGATTCGGCTTGAAGTTGGAATCTTCTTCGTTGTCCGAGGCATGCATTTTTTTGATTTTGCCTTGGTCAGTTTCGTTTGTGGCGCTATCGTTTGACCAAGTTTGACAAACCCGCCTCCCGTAGATCTGCCGGATCTCCGTCACAGCTCTGCTGGCAACCAATGCCTTCAATTCGGAAGTCTGAAACACTAAAGTGAAGTGCCCAAACGGACTCCGATCCCACACCTGCATCTGCAATATCACAAAGATCTGCAAACACACAACCTGAGTCTCGAGATCGGGTTCAAGCTCTTGCCCTCGCACGAACAAGACTCGAAAGGGACGCAACCATCTGAAGCCGTTGAAACCATGCTAGACTGCGTACAAAACCAATGCATTCTATTTTTGCATTCAAGAGTCGAGGCTGACTTGGCCGCAAAAATGGCACAGGCGGAAAGCGGTGTGGGAATGAATTTTGGCCCATCTAAGCAAGCAGCAAAGGCCATCAGCAGGAAGCTGCTCATCAAGCGGGAGACCCGCAGCACCAAATCACCCTGACCGGAATTGGCTTTGGTGTGAGCTGGTCTTGACCAGTGGGACTTCAATCAGTTAATTAATTCACCCAGCCATGCCTTTGCTCTTTGCTCCACGCCTTGCCATCCACCAAGCTGTAGGAGTCGCGCACCAGTGCTGCAATGCCGGCCCCATATACGTCCTTCAAGGCTGTGAATTGGCGCTTCAATTGTGCGCCGGTGATCGCAAATATCGTGCTCTGGGTCGCGCAGCCCTAACCAACAGAATTATTATACTTGTCCACCAAGGTTAACGAGGCGGAGAGGGAAGAGGTAGATGGTGAGCACAAAATGAAGCCTCGTGACCCAACGAAAGAAATCGCCTAACCAAACCACGTCACGTGTCCTCATCAAGGCTCTCAGGCTCTCGCTCCACCACCTGGAAGTCTGAAAAGTGCACCCCAAAAAACAAGCGCGTCAATCGGGGGGTTGCACCAAGATGAACAAAGGCATTCCAGCTTCGGCCGTTTGATCCATGCCCTCAGCGCCAATGCTGGCACCGACACAACTCTATATAAGAGTAGCAAGCTCAATGCGATAATTTCCATCATTTGCTGGCTTTTGCATTGATGTTTGCCAGTATGTAGCACACTCTGTGCTCTTTGTGAATGCTCCCGCCTCCTGGTCCTGATGCCACTCACCCGCATTGTGGTTGGTGGTGTCGACTTGCCGAGCCTGGCATCCGGAATCATCACAATCAGAGGAAAAGCGCTGCGGATGCCATGCAACAAAATGACCAGAGTTCCAGGATCCCAGTGACCAAAGCAGCTGTCACATGTTGAAATCCGTGAACGCTTGCAACTGAGAATGTTTCCCTCTTCAATGTCGGCCTCTAAGGAGCGGATGAAGATGACAAACGCCAGGCCCAGCAGAGCCTCAATACACTGCCTATGTCAACGTCAAAACGTGTGGTACTACGCCGAGAAGAGCTCAAACCAGCCCCTGCGAAATCTTTCAACACCTCTCAAGAGTGAAGACCTATGGAAACTGCCTAGGCTCCCTGCTGAACCAGGCGCAATGACAAAGAGGACGAGCTCCTGCCGAGATCTTACCCAATCAGGGTACTCAGGGATTCTGCAGCAGCGTCAAACTTGATGTGGGGCCTTGGTGAGTTGGAAAAGCAAAGCCTGAAGCCCTGCGATTTATTGGACAGGTCCTGTGCCCCAAAGAAGGGCTTCTGTGGCAGCGCCTGCGCGCAGGAAAGCTTACACTGAGCACCGCTTGCCTCACTGTCGCGGAGAAAAAAAATAAAAACAAGCTGAACTCTGCCTGTGGTCCTGCTTCTGGTGTTGGCGGAGCTGGATCAGCAGCCTCCCTGCGCACAGCAAGCTAATCCCACAAAAGTGCTGCGCAAGGCATGGCTTGCCTCGTGAGCTTGTGGTTGTGCACTTCCAAGAAGAGATGGCTAGTGGCAGGCGCAACTGCGCAGGGAAGAGCATTACAAAACGCTGAAAAGCACCTACGTGACTTAACTCACAAGGCGACGGCGTAAATTTTCAGGGCATGCAAACTTGGCCACCATGCCAAAGCCAAAAGAAATCTTGAGAGGCCTCATAAACTGGTCTGACCCCTTGCTCCGGGGCGTTATACACAGATATATTATGTGTGTGTGTGTGTGATCCTGGCCTGCCACTGCCAGCAAAGCCACGAGAAAGGACTTCCTGAGGCCAAGCGGACAGCTCAAAGCTCGCATTCCTGGGGCCAAGGTGTCACATCTTCAGCCCAAGATGCATTCCGCTGGTCTTGTACTCAGAAGATACAAGAATCCAGCGCGGACCGGCTAGTAGCAATAGCCAAAGTGGCAACGGTTTGAGAGGCCGAGCCCGTGTGCACTCGCAATGGCTGGCAAGGTCGCAAAAGAGCTTGTACCATTGAATAGCCCGGACACCTGCAAAGCTGCCAACGCTAGCCGAGCATTGCTCAAATGGTAGGGTTTTCTTCGGTCTGGAACGGGTGTCTTCCCTCCAGAATCCTTTCGAAATTGCCAAGCACTTTCTTTCAGGACCTGCATACCGGGCGCAAAATCTAGGGGTTGCTCCAAATCAGGGGTCAAGCATAGCAGGTTCTACTCCATTGGTCAGTCTGGAGAGTCTTTGCTGCCCATTCGTCCAGTCGTGGCTCGCGAGTATTTTGAGTTGCTAAGCTAGGCTCTGGGATGGCCCAGAGGCAACCGCCGCTCCAACCCACGCACAACTCTGGCAACTCTGGCAACTCAGCCAGACCGTCGCACTTTTGTCAGAGAAAGCCTGCCAGTTCTGCTCGCGCCCTTTCACGCGCCGGGATGGACAGGGACAGGGACAATGGCATCAGCGATACCTGCCCGACATTCTCACGATGTCTGTCAAGGTAGATCCTAGCAAACTTCAAAATGTCGGGTGGTATTCTGAAGAATGAAAGACCTGAAGTGAAGGCTGTGATGGAGATAGGAATCTTCAGGCCTCCACGGCAGGCTCCTGAACACGTCGAGTCAAGGTCCAAGCCCAAACTTGGCACGGCAAACATTCCCCTTCTCCCGTGCCTGTGCCCTCCTTCTGTGGTTTCCTGAGAGAACTGCCACGTGCCGCTCCTTGAAGGCATCACTCCACTCCGAGGTGATGTCGGCCTCCTGGAATCAACGTGGAACGCGAGACATGCTCCGCATGGATATTTGCATGCGAAGCCCCATTCCGAAATTCTGCCGGCAGATAACACTGTGAACAATTCAGCAGGCTATCCCATCTGAGCTGCCAGCTGAATCTGTGCGTACCAAGCCCTTCTTGCAGAACTGACCGTTCTGGCGCGAGTGAGGCGGTCCAAGGCAAAGCCTCCAACAATATGACAATACGCGAGCACGCGTTGTCTGGGCCAGCCGTTGTGTAAAGATGCCCACGCTTGATGCAATGAGGCAGGATGCCCAAAACAAAACAACAAAAAGGCTGGGCACGCCTCCAATGTACATCGTGCGTGCACGCGTGGCGGCTTTTTCGCTTCGCAATAGCCATCCACCCACTTTGGCCTTGGGCAGAATCTGGACACTCGCTACCCCACGCATTCAGCCATGCCCTCTCACCCTCCCCAACACACCTTCCCGAACAATGAGAAACTAACAATGTACGCTGCAAGAAAACCATTTTGCAAAACTCCAACACCCAGTGTAGGTTACTCGTGGATCCTCAAGGAGGCCACGTGCAGAACTCCTCTCGCAGGTGCAAGGCGCTCGCCTGGAGTACCGGAGTGGCGTGACAAGGGTCCGCTCCCAATTCCCTGCAAATCATGGTTCTGAATGCTCTGAAGCTCCATCGTCCGTGTAAGCACATGTAGCTGAATCACTTGCAGCCGTTGCAGGGTGAAGACAGTATAGGCGTGGGCACATTAGGCTATACAGTCCTGCGAAAGTCTCACTGGTTCAACTGCGATCTGTGCCATATATTTGAGAGTCATCGTGCGAATCCTGCATGTTGTGCGTGTTCCATATCGACCGTTGCCGGCCTCTGCCTGCTTCTGATATCTGTCCAAATCCTTGGTGCATCAGGCCATGTGGTCAACATCACACCTGTGAAGTCTTGCGGGTGAAGTCTAGCACAACCTTGCAAGGGCCCTGATCATCTGCAGTCCAAGCCGCTTCTGCGATAATCTTGGGCCTCTCGATGGCTGTGCAAATATTCTTCAGCTGGTCATACCTGGCTCGAGGCAGCTTAACGCGGCGCACCGCTGGCTGATACCTGCCAGCTAACAGCCCTTCCTTCAGAGATTCCCGCAGCTTTACTATGTTGCCCCTTCATCGGACATGTCAATGCGAAGCTCAGCGGTCACCCAGCTTTACATGATGTGGTGTTTTGCATCTTGATAATCTCGACTTTCTCTTGGCTCGGCTCTCCCTGTGGGAGCAAAGTCAAAAACCGGCGACTCGCCGAAGCTGGAAGGCGCGCTCGATGCGGTCGTCCACCCATGGCTCTGGCACCGCCTTGAGCGGGTGCACCTCGTGCCACCTGGCGCAACACTTTGCTTCACGAAACAGATTAACTAATAGCAGGCATAGCTGCTATAGATAGCTATAGCAGCGTGCAAATGAATGTGACATGTCAGCCCTGCTTGTCTGGCACAACCCTCCGATGCATCGGTATAGCCACGACATCCAAAGTGGACAGAGCGGCCAGTGTCGACAAGAGGTCCTAGCAAATTGGAAACCCAAACACAAACCACAGGGTGCCAAAGCATCTCTAGCTTGAAATCAACTCAGCCCCAAGAGTCGCAAACTTCCCAACTAAAGTCAAGTATGAACATCTTGCGCTCGAGCTGGGTGACCATATTTGCCAAGTCCTTTCGCAGAGCTTGGTCCGATTGTCGCACCAAACCGGGCCTTGAATTGAGCAAGCACCACAGGCTTCAAAACGCACATCAGCGAAGACAGCAATCTCCGGAGGATCTAGTAGGCCCTCTTGTTCATTGGAGTGTCTAAGTCTCATGGGGAATGCAGCAAGAAAATCGTCTGAAGTCCGGGCTGTCATTCGGTACTGGGGCGCGCTTCTTGCCCACCTTCATGACAACTGCGGTATGTGAGATTGGACTTTTGAATCATCAAAGGAAGCTTAGAAGGAACTTCCGTGGTACTGGAACAAATCGAGCTAGCGCTCTCAAAGAATGCGCACACCTGTGTGATGTTTTAAGCCCAAATGCTCTGCGTGTGTACAAGCCACCAAGCAGCTGGCAAACGTGAGAAGGAGGAATAGAAGCGGGCCGAAAACGTAGCACTTTGCGCGACCAAGGTGGGTGCGGAGCGGGCTCGGACCACGTGAGACAGGCGCATTGGCGCTTACCATCAAATGGTGAAGCCTCTGCGGACTTTGGGTCGACCCTCAACAACTCATTTGTGTTTTTTTGCATTTCAGCTTAAGAACCATGAAATGGTGAACCCTCTGCGGGCGTTCGGCACATTTGTCTGCGTTGTTGACTTTAGCGGGCTGGAGAGAGAGAGAGAGAGAGAGAAAAAGAAAGACAGACAGACAGACAGACAGACAGACAGACAAAAAGAGAGAAAGAAAGAGAGCGAGAGAGAGAGAGAGAAAGAAAGAAAGAAAGAAAGAAAGAAAGAAAGAAAGAAAGAAAGAAAGAAAGAAAGAAAGAAAGAAGGAAAGAAAGAAAGAAAGAAAGAAAGAAAGAAAGAAAGAAGGAAGGGAAGAAAAAAGAAGAA